GCCTAGTATGGGCTAGGTCCGTAACAGTCAACAAGACAAATTAACCATAGACTCTAAAGGGAGTGGTACCAGATGTAGAAATAAAAAAAGGCATTTTGGTTTTTGCATGTATTCCACAGTTAACCAAACACTAGTAATTGAAGTCTGAAAATCAAACGAAAGACATGAAATTCTTTCGCATTTTATTCCTATTGTCTAACCCAAATGCCACTTGTTTGACAAAATAGCTAATACACTAGCCTCAGCATACAAAATGACACAAGGATATGATTAAGATTGTTTTTTAAATGAATGAAAGAGGTCAAGATGCAAGTATATTCGAAAATCTTATGGAGCTTAATCAGCTTATTTGCAAAGCTATAAACAGTCGCCTAAAAACTAGCAAAGCTATAAACAGTCATTAAAAAATAAGCTCTCCAAATAAACAATGCTTAAGCAAACTGCAACTAGCTTTTTCGAGAAAAGCTAATCAATGACTTAGAATAAAGTCAGTAAACCACCTAATGGCATTCCAAAACATAGTCTTATCATAGATCCTTAAGATCCAAATATAAGTGTTTCCAACACTCATCCAACTTCTCCCAACCAATGGGAGAATACAAAAATGAATTAGCAAGACTAGTTCAATATTACTGGTATGATTTAACGGTATTGCCACTATGTTTCTTTCTACATCTACATATATTTAAAATTAGTTATAATACATTATTTCCATTGCAAAAAGACTTCTGAGCTTATAGCCTCATTCCGAAGTCATTTTTGATCTAATTGACTAAAGTTTCCATTAGGGGGCATAATGGTGGGGCATATACAAGCAAGGTAAACATCGCCCACAGCTTAATTTGGCTCCACAATCAAGCTTGATCTTGATTTGACAACTCTTCCTAAGGTAATAAGGTTTAAGCAAATAAGCATAAGAATCCAGCTTTTCCTAATCTTCTGATCACTTCAAAAAAAATGGAGACGAGAATACCTAAGTGGCCTCGAGTCGCGGCGATGGAGAAGGCATCCAAGTCACCCTTGCACCTGATCTTAGCAGTCTCCAAATCGCAGAGCTCGACCAGGAATCTGAACACCTCCACGTAATTATTCTCCGCCGCGACGTACAGGGCCGTCTTCCCGGCGTCGTTCTGCAAGGCCAAAAGCGAGTTCGGGTCGGGTTCGGATACTCCGGATTCATCATTCTGAGAGAGGAGTTTCTGGAGCGCGTCAAGGTCACCCGATTGGGCGGCGGAGAAGAAGGACTGGTGGTTGATAAACCACAGTGACTTGGAGTCCATATGCTGCTGACTGAAGCTTTATTATCAACCGAAGATTTCAGTATCATCAACAACTTCCAGGAAATTTCCTGCCTGTCTTTAATTTACGAAGAATTATACGGAGTAATTAAAGTAAATTACTAACATTAAAGTTTTGAATTTTCCCTGGTTTCCAGTTTTTTTGTTAAAACTGGAAAGGTTGAATGGAAGGGAAAGGGAGATGAAAGGTGGTGATAGACTTACTGACAGAGTGCATTATTTGGAATGGGGACCACTTAGTGCAATCATTAAAGATTAGAATTATCGTTAGTGGGCCCAAGCGCTTGACATTTGGGAAACAAACTTCACGTGATTAAGGATCGGGTTCATCATTTCCTTCAGATGAATGAATGGACTACAGCACTAAATTAGGTGACTATGCAAATAAACTAAAAAGTGGAAATAATATCACTTTTGTGACTATGCAATATTCCAGTATCCTGATAGGACTATGGGGCCTATTCAGTATTTTGACAAAGTCTATAGGAGGAGAAATAAAAGGGTTGGGGTCAATTAAATGGGCTGGGGTCAATTAATAAGTATATTTTTCTAGTTTAGTCCATGCGTGGACTTATTACTATAAATAGTAAGGTGGGTAGCTGAGGATAGGTAGTCTGTTATTTTGATTACATGTTGCCTTGTTGCCTTCTTACCGAAGCCCCAGAATTATCTTGTTGCCTACGGTTTATTCCCTTTCATCAATAAACCATATTTCTCTATCCTTTATCAGTTTCCTGTTTGTTTGTTCACTGTATTGCTTAGATCTGACCAGGTACCTATCATTGGTATCGGAGCAGCAACGCTCCTGGAGGTCGGATTAGAAGGGCGATTTCATCTAAGCGATCGCTTAAGAGGTGAATGGTCAAGACCAGGTCGAAAATAGAACATCGCGTGGATTCGTTGGAACAGGAGATGAAGACGGCTATGGCTACGATGAATGAACAGTTCCAGAGCGATCTAGCGGCTTCTATGGCCGCGATGAACGCACAATTCCAGAGCAATCTAACGGTCTCTACGGCCGCGTTGACGGAGCAGATTCAAAGCCTTCGCGAGCAGCGAAGAGGAATATCGCGATCACACCATCGTTCGAGGTCCCCACACAGTCCATCTATATCCAGAGGTAATTCTATACATTCACCCCATCCCAATCGTCGGGTTCAGACTGGTAAAAAGGTAGGGTTGCCTTCATTTAATGGGGAGGGTGCCTACAATTGGATTGTGAGGATGGAGCGTTACTTTAGACTAAATAGAACTGAAGATGAGGACAGGGTGGAAGTAGCGGTTGTGGCCATGGAGGACAGGGCTTTGAATTGGTTCCAATGGTGGGAAAATATAGCTGAAGAAAGGACCTGGAATGTTTTGAAGGAGGCTGTGATCCACAGGTTCCAGCCTGACTTGTTACAAAATCCATTTGGACTGATGCTTAGTCTGAAACCAAGTGGGACAGTAGAGGACTATAGGGACGAATTTGAGATGACAATAGCTCCCCAGAAGAATATTGATAGGGGAATGCTGCGAGGCATATTCATTAATGGTCTCAAGGATGAAGTGAAAGCTAAACTCAAACTCTTCCACTCCAAATCGTTATCTGCAACCATGGATAGGACCATATTGATTGAACAAATGAATGAGGCTGTGCATTTAAAAGCAAAATTTGCAGATAAACATGAAGAAAGGAAAAGGGGCACATGAACTACAGGCAAACAGTTTGGGGAGAAGGGTATAAATACAAACCTGGGGTTTTTGGATCACAAACAGGTGGCAAACAGGCTGCAGAACACGGAGGAAATCAACCATGGTTTAATCATGTTGGGAGGAAGTTCCATGAGATACCTCCATCTGAGATCAGAAGAGTGGCTCCCCAATTGTCACAGGAGGAGTTTCAAAACCGGAGAAGGAAGGGGCTGTGTTTCAAATGTGGAGAAAGATGGAGCAAGGAACACTCTTGCAAACTGAAGAATTACAAACTCATTATGGTAGAGAATTCTGAGAGTGAAGAAGAACCAGATGTGGCAGAAGAAGAAACTCCAGAAGAAGAGGAGATTGTACTGGAGTCTAAATCAATGCAGTTGTCCCTTATGAGCAAGGAAGGGATTCCTTCTATGAGAGCCTTCAAGATCAAGGGCCAACTGAAATGGGAGGGGGGGAGAGAAACAAAGGTGGATGTGTTGATTGATAGTGGGGCTACGCATAATTTTATATCTCAAAGACTGGTAAACCAACTGAATATACCTTATAGCATAATTACAGGGTACAAGGTTCAGATTGGAAATGGGGCAAAACTGGATAATAATGGGAGATGTGAGAAGATCACACTATACCTTAATAAGGCAGTGGTTCGACAACAATTTTACATAATAGAGTTGGGAGGCACTGATTTGGTCTTGGGTATGGAGTGGCTGACGAGCTTAGGGGATGTAGAGGTGAATTTCCAAAAACAAAGCATCAAGTGGAGGGAACGGGGCAAGCTGCAGGTGATTCAAGGGGAACCACAACTCAATTCCCTTGAGATTTCCCTAAAAACTATGACTCACATTCTACACGATGCTGGGGATGGTTACTTGGTATATTGTGAAGGGCAGACTCAGGGGTTGGGAAGTGAGCAGCTAAATGAGGAAATCTGGGGGCAGATCATAGCAGAATTCCCCGAAGTCACTCAGTCCATGAAGAATCTGCCTCCTACTAGACAATGTGAACATGCCATACACCTCTATGAAGGAGCAACCATACCAAATATCAGGCCCTATAGGTACCCACAGTACCAGAAAAATGAAATAGAAAGAATTATAAAAGAAATGCTAAGTGCATGAATCATCCAGCCAAGCAACAGCCCCTACAACAGTCCAATACTACTTGCCAAGAAGAAAGAGGGTGGCTGGAGGTTCTGTGGTGACTACAGGGCCCTCAATCAGATCACCATACCTCACAAATTCCCTATACCCATCATTGAGGAGCTGCTAGATGAATTGGGAGGAGCTGTGATATTCTTCAAGCTTGATCTCAAGTCTGGGTATCACCAAATAAGGATGAGAAAGGAAGACATTCAGAAAACTACTTTTCGCACACATGAAGGGCATTACGAGTATTTGGTGATGCCTTTTGGCTTAACCAATGCTCCTTCAACTTTCCAGGCCCTTATGAACCAGGTTTTGAAGACATTTCTGAGGAGGTTTGCTCTGGCCTTTTTTTATGACATCCTAGTATCCAGCAGGTCTATGGAGGAACATCAGGGTCATTTGAAGAGTGTTCTGGGAGCTCTAAAGGAAAATCAGCTAGTTATCAACCTGAAAAAATGCTCCTTTGGGAAATCACAAGTAACTTACCTAGGACACATAATATCTGCGGAAGGGGTTGCTGCAGATCCTACAAAATAGAGGCAATGATCTCATGGCCAGAGCCTAAAGACTTGAAAGGATTGAGGGGATTCCTTGGTATAACAGGGTACTACAGAAGATTTGTGCAGGGATATAGCAAAATTGCTCTGCCACTAACTCAGCTCTTGAAGAAGGACAATTTCCAATGGGGGGCATGTAGCCACCCAGGCTTTTGAAGAATTAAAAAGAGTCATGACCACATTGCCAGTCTTGGCTGTCCCAGATTTCAACAAAGAATTCATACTGGAGACTGATGCATCAGGGACTGGTTTAGGTGCTGTCCTGATGCAAGAAGGGAAACCTCTTGCTTATATGAGCAAGGAATTGTCCAAAAGAAACCAAAATAAATCTGTCTATGAGAGGGAGTTAATGGCCATTGTGCTAGCTGTTCAGAAATGGAGACCCTATCTACTAGGGAGGACTTTTGTAATACACAATGATCAGAAGAGTATGAGATTTCTTACTGAACAAAGATTAATGGGGGAAGAGCAACAAAAGTGGACTTCAAAACTTCTGGGCTATAACTTTACCATCAAGTATAAACCAGGGGTGCAAAATAGAGCTGCCGATTCTTTATCCAGAAGACCTAGATTGAACTCATTATCAGTTGTCACTTGCCAGGAGTGGGAGGGACTGGAGGAGGAGCTGAAAGCAGATCCCAGATGCCTAACCCTAATTCAGAATATAATTTCTCGTCCAAACAAGTATCCTGAATTTCAGCTTATTAAGGGCCTATTGTACTACAAAAAGAAACTGGTGCTACCTAAGAATTCCCCCAGGGTGACCAAAATCATGAATGAATACCACAACACAGCAGTAGGAGGTCATTCAGGATATTTCAGAACAATGAAGCGAATTTTTACTCTATTTTATTGGCCGGGTATGAGAAAGGACATACAAAGGTTCGTGGAAGAATGTACTATCTGCCAGACCAATAAATATCAAGCATTGAAACCAGGAGGATTACTACAACCTTATTTCTGAAATGAAGTTATAAAGTCGTATGAACTATTCTTATAAATTGCACCTAATTATTTTTTCTTATTTGATTTTATTTTTATTTTTGTGATTAACTCAAGCGTTTAAGGCTCCTTTCAAAAAAAAAACTCAAGTGTTCAAGGCGTGTACATAGAATTTATGCTGCTTTGACGATGCCACGTTGTCTACTTATGGCCGCGATTCACGAAAACGATCTTTATGACCATGAGAAAATTGCTCTCCGTAGAAGCAAATCAAAGGATTTTTAGAAAAATAGGATTCAACACCGTTTTTTCCTTGCGTAGGATCTATTTAGCACCGTTTTAGAGAACTGTATTCTTGTCTTCCATTTTTACCCTTCCCTTTACATTAGTATATTCAAAATAAAAATACGATAGTACACAACCGCTGCTATGTCTCTCGGCCACACCACAGAGCACCACCGTGTACAATGACGCCGCCCACCGCCGCCGTCACCACCACTAACAGCATGCCCTCCATTGAATCTTTCTCTGGCGCTGCCTCCGATCCAGCGAGACAACTTCAGATCTGCGCTGACAGCCCTCCGGCAAGACTGCTCCATCTCTGGTTGGCAGCCTTCTCCGGCGAGATCGGAGTCTACCAAGCTCCGATTTCATCATTAGATATAGTAAATTGTGTATATATTGTTTTATGTGACCTGCTCTGCAATTGAACTATTATCACAACTTATTGTCTGTTTAATGACTACTTACTGTCTATGTATTACCTGCTATTGAACTGTTATCAGAACTTATTGTCTGTTTACTGACTACTTAATGTCTATGTATTGTTTAGGGTTTGTAAGTTTGATTTTGGATCTGGTTTCTTCAAACGTTTTGCAGAGTACCTGGTGGCCTTGTGAAAATATGAAATAGAACTTCGAAATTGGCAAAATCAATGCCAAAATCAGAAAAGAAGAAGAAGAAGAAGAAGAAGAAGAGGAGGAGGAGGAGGAGGAGGAGTTACCTGCTCCGGCGACCGTAGAGGCGAATCCGGCGAAGAGAGGCGGCAACAATGGAGGCGAATGAAACCGACGAAAGAAGTTGTGCTCGAGGTTGAACTACCCGACGAGGAACGTTGAAGATTGTGAAGCCTTTGTAAATTGATGGGGAAGATAAAGATGCGATGATGGGGAAGATGCGATCGATGGAGTTTGTTTGTGCGCAGGGGAGAATTTAAAAGGAAGGGCAACTTGGTCAAAACAGGTGTACTTAAGTCTTAGGCTAATATGTAGTCTTAATTTGGGAAAATTAGTATGATTAGGTCCTACCGGTTGAAATCTCCCTATGACCGTACATTTTATACATTTTATGTAGGTCTTTTCACACAAAAAATTCATGTAAAACAGATCAGTGAGAAAACGCGTCTGACAAAAAGGTTTTTTCATACGGAGTATTAGATATTTCGATAAAAAGGCTTTTTTCATACGTCATACTCGTATTACAAAGTTACCTAATTGTTTTTTTATTTATGGAAAATCACTTTTATTTAATAACATTGGAATTAGTTGAATCAGATGAATTTCTTAAATATGTTGAAGTAATTGAATTGACTGAATTTACTAAATAATTAAATAATGTAATTCAAGTATATTCTGCGAATTAATTTTGATGGGTTATTAATAAAATGATGTCATTGATGATAACTTTGATATTGTAAGTGTATTATTTTTAATACCTAATGATGCATTTGTCATTTAAGAGTGCTAATTATTTTCTAAAATACAAATGATACTTCCTCCGTCCCAAATTGTTTTGCAAAGTCAGTATTTTTTGGTCAAACAATAATAAAAGTCAACGCTCCCTATCGATAATTAATTGAACTTTTAATAATTAAAATTTATATATTCAAAAACTACATTAAAATCTCATCAAAGTTGTAAATTCCAAATTAGAATAAAACTAAAAATTGACATCTTAATTAAGCAAATAAAAGGCTAAAGGGTCAAATAGGTACATGAACTAACTTAAAGTGTTCAATTAGCCCCATATATAGGAGGTTCTGCCCGTCCGTCGTCAATTGGGGCGGTTCCCGGTGAAATTTTTTGATGAAATTTTTTGAGCATCTTCTTCATTAAGTCTAGTTTACCCATACCAAGTTTCAGCTAAAAATTAAATCGGGAAGGCAGTCAAATAATTTTTTGAAGATAACTCCGCAGTTAAACAACGCAGTACATTTCGGAAAATAATTTGACTGCCTTCCCAATTTAATTTTTAGCTGAAATTTGGTATGGGTAAACTAGACTTAATGAAGAAGATGCTCAAAAAATTTCATCAAAAAATTCCACCGGGAACCGCCCCAATTGGCGATGGCCGGGCAGAACCTCCTATATGAGGGGCTAATTGAACACTTTAAGTTAGTTCATGTACCTATTTGACCCTTTAGCCCAAATAAAATGAAACTATTTGACCAAGAAAAGTGAAAGTTGCAAATCAATTTGGGACAGAGGTAGTAAATTTTAACTGGGATGTTCGAAAGCGACAAAAGAGAAGCTTAAGACGGGACACGGGAAGTATATATATTAATAAAATAAAGAAAAATTATTTAGTGCGTGCGAATTAATGTGCTTGAAAAGTGACTACTTTATACATAATATTAGGCTTTGTTTGCAACCACTTGTGCTTAAATAAAAGCACTTTTTGATAAAAAGTGATTAGTAGTAAAAGTTGGTAGTGTTTGGTAAAATAAGTGTTTTTTTCTTAAAAAAAAGCCAAAATCACTTTTCTTAAGTGGTTGCAAACAAAGCGTTAATCGAATTATATAAACTTGATTCTCAGAAAGTGTGACTACTTTTATACATGGACAAAATGTGACTAACAACAACATACAATAACATACAATAACATACAACAACATACAACAACAACATACAATAGCAGTCGACTAACATGAATCGATCAATGATATTGGAGCCACAAAAAAGTAAGCTAAAATGACACTCGGTAAGATAAAAATAAATATAAGATAAAATGACATAAGAAAGATAAAGGATAAAAATAACATAAGAACATAAGAAAAATAAAGACTATAAAAAGATAAAAGGAAAAAATAGAGAGAAAATAGAGAAAAGAGATCAATCATAGCTTCATAAATCGATTCATGTAATATGATGTGACTATGTGATACTATTGACCGTCACATGCTTAGCACAACACCTCCCCTTTATCCTCGTTTGGGACATGCATCATATCAAAATATCAGCACTGTTGTCACTGTCTTTGTCGTGAAACAACAAAGATATCAAAATATCAAAATATCATGACTAACCAGGTAATAAATTTGAAAAAACATGATATAAATTTTTATGTCAATGACAATTTTTCAAATTTCAATGTGAGTAACCACTGTTGTCACTGTCTTTGTCGTGAAACATGCCACCGTGATCATCGAAAATGTTACACCTTCCGTCACTTATAACTTTGTTAACTATCCTTTTTTGGTTGTCTCAAACACCTTGTCACTTTTCCTTTCAGGGTTGGTTTGCAACAGTTTAAAAAAAACACTTCTCAGCTTTTGGCTTAAAAACACGTATTTTACCAAACACTACCAACTTTTACTTTTCTCGGCTTTCGTGTGAAAAGTGTTTTTTTCTATTACACAAAAAACACTTATTTTACCAAACACTACCAACTTTTACTTTTCAAAAGAACTTTTTTCTCAAACACTATCAAATTTTACTACTAATCACTTTTTTCCAAAATCACTCCAAAAGTGCTTTTTTTAAGCAGAAGCTGTTGCAAACACCTCGTTAATCAATCAATTTGTGGCTCCTGCTATTTCTCTCTCCTTTGCACACATTTTTTACTTTATTATTCTACGTGCCGGTCAAACATGGTAAACCTTTAAGAGACGGATGAAGTATGTTTTTTGGTGTCTTTTTCCATCTTAAACAAAAAAGAAACAAAACAGTTCTGGCGAAATACTCCTACAATTTTACCGGTAGACAAGGGTAGGAATTATAATTAAAAGAAGATTATATTAATTAAAAAAGTAGTCATATTTTCTAAAAAATAAAAATTAGCTATTCACAGTGGCGGATGTCCTTTATGCAAGGGTGTTCCTATGAATTAGAGTAATAATTTGCTTAATAGTATTTTAAAGAGAAAATGTGTAATTTTGAACACCAAAAATTTAATTTTTAACATGATTAAATAAAGAAAATTGGTGGAATTATATTTTATGTGAGGGAGAGTATGCTTTCACATACCACTCGCCCATATTTTATGCGGTATCTTGAGATAGAATATGCCATCAATTAAGTGTACTTTGTTAAGATTATGGGTATAAATGGGTATTCTACGCCAGATTGCACAGTGGTCAGTCTGGGTATTATACAACATGAGTATGTTAAATTATGGGACGTTTTATGTTAAAAGAAATGAGTATAACATTTAAAAAAATGAGTATTCATATTAAATTATAAAACTAACACAATAAATATTTTGATAATCATATAATGATAATATAGTTAAATGAATAAGTTGATTTGTACCATATATATTAGTGCAGATCATGATATTCAATTGCATGCTTCTAATACTCAATTGTGCTACAAATTAAATATAGTGACTTAGTACAATATCAATTTCTTTTTATTTTTTATACGTTATACTCATGTCTTTTACCATAAAATTTGGTTGTACACTGAGCACTGTACAACTGGGTGTAGAGTGTAGCCTCTCACGATTATGCTATAAACATGTTTTAAGTCAATTGGTTTCGGTTCAAGATCAACCAGAACAAATCAAATTCAAACATACTAGATCAGATCAGTTCATAACTAAACAGACTAGATTAGACTAAAAGAGATCAGATTAAGATAGTTATGAAATACACATAGAACATGAATCTATCATACCAGATTCGACCAATTCAAATCAAATCAAAGTAGAATAGAAAATTTCGATGCAATTAAAGCATCGATCGTAACTAGGAGTTGGTACACTCCTTTATAGTAAAAAATATACTACGAACCCATTTGGTAGCACGAAAATCGGCTGATACTGTTGAAATTTATGAAGTTTTGGCTGAAATGACTGCATTGGCTGATTTAAGAAAAAATTATTTTTAAAATATATTTTATGAATAAAATAAAGAAAAAATTATACGTCAAAATAGCTAAAATGGTCATCTAGAGTAACTTCAGCCAATACAGCCAGAAAAGTAACTTCAACCTTACTTATTCTACTTATTACTCAATTCAGCGCGCGAAAGCAAAAGTAACGTTTTTGGTGAAAAAGTTGGCTGATAAGCCGAAAAACAGTGTTGCCAAATGACCTCTACAGACTACAGTTTAAAGGTTTAATTTAGATTGAATTTTTAAATGTAATCTGCATTAATTTGAACTGATTTGATCTATTAGGTATGAAGTTGTTTGTTTGTCCTCAATAAATTACATTAGAAATATTCATATCCAATTTGGTCAAATCTTAAAAGTTTGAGATCAGAAACATATGAGATCAAACAAAACTTCTAAATTGTTTAGAAGTATTCTAGGTGGACAAGCACTTTAACAGCAACATACGAAGTATAACTACATAAGGACTTTGCAAAAAAAAAAGACTACATAAGGATTATTATTTTTTACAAAGAAACAAAATACTACATCCGTTCTCTTTTAATTGCAACATTGAACTTTTTGCACTATTCACATATTCTACTTTGACTACATTTTATTTATTAATGTATTATAAAATAAATTTTTTAAAAATATTGTTAAATTCTTCTCATTCTAAATTTTCAAATTATGAATTTTTTAATTTTTTTACTAATAAAAAATGAAAGATATTGATGGTCAACTTGTGCGTTGGCAAACATGAAATGTTCGTTGACTGTTGCAATTAAAAGAGAACGGGGGAAGTATTTGCCAAGATCGCATACACGACACCCGCGCCTAACTAGTTACTTATATATATATGTACTGAGTAATGTTCTGGTCAGGCGCGCCTGACCAGACATGCTGTGCGGACTTGCCCGTTTGGGTGCCTTCCTGGTCGAATTTTTTGATGAAATTTTTTGAGCAGTTCCTCATCAAGTCTAGTTTATCCATACAAATTTCAGCTCAAAATTCCATCGGGAAGGCGGTCAAATAAATTCTTGAAACATACTGGTCATTCTGCGCATATATAAAGACCAGTATGTTTCAATAATTTATTTGACTGCCTTCCCGATCGAATTTTGAGCTAAAATTTGGTATGGATAAACTAGACTTGAAGAGGAACATGCTCAAACAATTTCATCAAAAAATTTGACCGGGAAGGCACCCAAACGGGCAAGTCCGCACAGCACATCTGGTCAGGCACGCCTGACCAGATCATTACTCTATATGTACTACCTATAAATATAAAATTATAAACGGCACCAACTCCGTTGTATGGTTGATAATATTTCTAGTTGGACGATTTTCAGTCTCATCAAATCAA